ATCATAATAATTGTGTGTCTGTGTTTGTGTGTGATGTCAAGTAGTGACCAACAAATTATTTAAATTTATCTGAAGAGGAATTAAAATAATGTTGTTGATCTTTTTGAGGTAGCACCGCATCGTGTTACACAAATATGAGTCAATACCTTTAGCTTTAGTTTATAGCTGCATGACTAATGACACCCAGAAGAACAGTAGACATGGAAACGCACTGTGACTCAATTTTGATTAAACAATACAGGTGGTGCATTTGCATCTAGCTTGTGATCTCTGTTCAAATTACAGCAAACTCTTCTTTTTAATCTCGGTAAGTGATTCGAATGACACTTTAGCAGATAATTTGTTTTCAGCAGCACAATAAGCTTCTTCTTTGATTTGGAAAGCCTTTAAGAGTCAGCTAACTTTGTGTTTTCATTAAAAGCGGCCTGTCTGCACAGGTTTCATATTTTTATGTAGAAAGTCTCATCTCTGCTAAGTCCACAAATGCAACAATTTAACAAAACGGTGCAGGATTTAAACTTTGTACTGACAAGAAGAGTAGTTTTATAATCAGCTGTTAAGGTTATGAAAGCCTATATCCAAGTAATCACTCAAGCTTTTGTGCTGCACTGTTTTCTTTTGATATTGCTAGATTTTGGGTGCTAATTTACTAGCATTAATTGAACATTGATTTCTAGATTTCTAGTAGAGTGACAGGCATTCAGAAATGCTCGTGGAAGGTTTATTCTGCATTTGTACAGAATTAGTTTTATTTGCTTGCTTCTTACTTAAATATATGAGCTGTATGATTTTCAGTGCACAGGTGGAAAGTTCACTCAAGTCTGATTTGTGTGACTGACAATTTTTAAAAGATGGGAGGAAATCTTCTTAAAAGTAGAAAATTAAATGAAAGGGCCAATCCTTGCACTTTAGTTTAAATCAGTCAACAATGGTAAATAAATATTTGATGTTACTGTAGTGTTCAGCTTTGAAGGTTTGGGAGGACATTAGAATGCACTTGATTGAGTCTTTATGAAAAATGCTGAACAAACCTTAAGGACAAATTTCTCTAGAGCAACAGCAGCTTACTGTAGGTGGAGATTTGCCATGTGGAAATTCACTGTCTCTGAGGTTTGAAGGAGTAACAGAAATTGGTCCAATCCAAGCTACCGAAGGCCTCCATGTTTATATAGTGACATCAGATGATGGTGCTGACAGTCAACTCCACAGCTCCAAAGCAACCTTTAATCTTGAGAGCAAAAATAAAAAACGTTTGTACTTTCTTTATTTTGTTTTTGAAAAAAGAAAGCAAAACTCAAACATCTCTTATAATTGCCTTGTCAGATATTTGGCTGCTTAGTACCCAGTCACTGTCCTCTGATGAAAGTGACAGATAACGATTTCTATATTGTCTTTCCTTGATCTGTCCAGATAAAAAAGACATTTTCGCCTGCCTTTGTTCATCACAGGTTCGTACTCTAGCCAGGACAGATGAAGCTCGAGGCCTTCTGTGGCTCATGGAGGAGGAGGCTGTACATCCAGGAGGTTCAGAGGAAACCATGCTGGAGAGACTCTTCAGCTACTATGGCTCTGCACAGGGAGAAAACAAAGGTGAACACTCAAACACGTAGCTGTCCCTTAACGCAATCAGTCGAGGCTTTCTGGAGAAACAAATAGACAACACTGATACACCATGGCAGAATATTTCCATTCTGTTGCAGGAGCTAATCTACTTCTGCGAGGCGAGAAGCCCCACCTCTTCCTGCTGGGCCACAGCCATGGGACCAATTGGGTGGAGTATAACACCCAAGGCTGGTTGAACCATGCCAAGCACAACCCTGCTGCCCAGAATGCTGCAACCCTGCTGCAGGACTCCCAGAAGTATGATGCCTCTGTCTATACATGAACATCATCCAGTTTAATAGAACAATGTATAAAGTGATTGGTCATCACCGCTGTTGTTTTTTAAGCTGCACATGCCCTGATGGAGTTGCTAGTAGTGGATTTGAATTAACTGGTTACGTAAGAAGAAAATAAAACTATGTTCTGTACTAATAGAATTACATTTGTCTGATATAGAGAACATATAAATGTACATTACAGTACACTGCATGTGAACTTGTGAAAAAAATGCCCAATTTATTCTTGCATTACCTGGATTTATCTCAGTTTCTGACATGTCAGGCCTGCCTTTCCACCTCTTTGGGGGCTCTGTGTTCTCTTGTCTTTAGTTCATATGCACTCATTTCAGTCTGTCTGTAAATTTTATGGTTTCAGTGACTCAAAAAAACATAATATGCTTGACAAGGGGAAGAATACATCTATCATGTAGAGTTTAATCAAATGTTTCCAGTATGATCTTTCTGCTACAATTCACAGTTCAACCATGAATACCATCAATATATTTTGTACTGTAGGTTATGAAATCAATGGCTCTTTGTCTATAATGTCTTGGGAACATTTGCCTTACTGTCTTGCAAAAGGGAATACACACTCTACTTAAGTATAGTCAAGCTAAAGCTAGTTATTGCAGGGACAATATCTAACTTAGCAACTTCAGACCTTTAGCAGTCATAAGGTGAGTGTTTGACACCATGAGGCAACAGAGTGAACCAAAGAGTGCAGCAAGGAGCCTGTCAACATATGGCTCACAAAACAGTATAATTTGGCACTAATGCTATCAGATTGATTTCTTTATATTGTCTTGTGACTTCTTGGATGTTAGTGATGATGATTTGTACAAACCCTATCATCTTTCTGCCACTGCAGGAAGAACATCAGCGCGCTGTTCATGGGCCGGGCCAGTGGAGCCACCGTGTTGTCGGGCTCCATCGCCGGTCTGGAGGGCAGCTCCCAGCTTGCCCTGCGGCGAGCCACTAGTATGAGGAAAACCTTCACTACAGGTGTGGCTGCTGTCAAGAAGAAGAGTCTGTGCATCCAAGTGAAACTCCAAGTGGTAAGTGGATGAGAGTGTGGTTAAAAGGTACGAAAACACAACAAGCACCAACCACCTTGTGGCTGCAGCTCAGTGCAGCAGCTTTGGCAATGGAGCTGCTGAACATGGTCCATTCGGACCCAATGTCCCTAGTCTCCCTCTGCCATAGGTGTGCATTGAAGATCTTGCGGACCGGAGCCTCTGCCAGGCGTTCCCAGCGCACCCTCACTATATATGCACATTAAGGTCATGCGGTTCCCACCACCTGATCCAATTCACCACCTGGTGATTAGTTGACAGCTCAGCCCCTCTTTTTAGCCAATTGTCCAAAACATATGGCCGCATCTCTGGTGAAACAATTACAAAATCGATCCTCGATCTCTGACCTAGGGTGTACTGATGCCAAGTGCACTTATGGACACTCTTATGTTTGAACATAATAATGGATTGGATTTATATAGCACTTTTCAAGGCACCCAAAGCGCTTTACAATGCCATTATTCATTCACACACTGGTGGAGACAAGCTACAGTTGTAGCCACAGCTGCCCTGGGGCAGACTGCCATATCGCGCCATCGGCCCCTCTGGCCAACACCAGTAGGGTAAAGTGTCTTGCCCAAGGACACAACGACCAGGACAGAGAGCCAGGGGATCGAACCGGTGACCTTCCGGTTACAGATACGCTTCCCAACCCCCTGAGCCACGGTCTCCCTGGTAGAGACATGGTGTTCATTATGGACAAACTGTGGTTTGCACAGAAGTCCAACAACAAAACACCGCTCTGGTTCACATCCAGGAGGCCGTTCCTCACAATCACTCCCCTCCAGGTCTCGCTGTCGTTGCCTACATGAACATTGAAGTCTCCCAGTAGGACAACAGCCCCCCCTTCTGTTGCTTTTGTAATACTTGTTAAGGCAGTGACGCTTAACTCTCTACTATTTTTATAGCTTGTTGTTGCATGAAGTCTTAGAACTGGAAACTGATGTCTGATATAATCTCTTTATTTTTAGGATGCTCTGATTGACATGGTGCGTCGTTCTAAGGTTCACTTCGTCCATTGCCTACTGCCCAAAGTAGAGGCAGTAGGAGGAGGTGATTACCGTATGGCTCATGGAGAGAGCCCTGACTCAGGTCTCATGACTCTGGACGTGAGCCTCCTGAGAGCTCAGCTCCGAGGATCCAAGCTGCTAGATGCTCTGCGCATCCACAGGCAAGGTAACTACTTGGCAGTGTTATATGTAATTTCAACACTCTTTCCAGTCACTGTTATGCTGATGACAGAACCGTGTTTCAGTTTAATTTGATCTGGGGTTAGGGGTTAAAGTACCCTAATGTAAGACTGTCCCATAGACATTCATACTTTTGTCTGTCTGTTGGCTGTTGATAAACTGCTAGCCTTTCCACCAGCTGCAGATGCTACTTTAACTTTGGTGTTCTGAGTTTGTGTGCTCTCTTCTCTGTTCTGCCTCTAGGTTATCCTGACCACATGGTTTTCTCTGAGTTTCGAAGGCGCTTTGATGTTCTGGCACCTCATCTAACCAAGAAGTATGGCCGCCACTACATTGTCACAGATGAGAAGAGGGTGAGTGCAGAGTTAGCAGGACTGTGACTGCTGATATAACGAAAAGTGCTCTCTTGTCAACCTCCTTAGCTGTTCGTATATTAAGATACAATGTAATCATTTGCCTTGTTTTAATCAGAATAATTCATTCACAAGGGGAAATTGTTTTGTAACATTTGCTCAGGATTGTGGGAGATGTAAGGTTATTTAAAAGTAGCTGAAATCCACTGTTAAAGTGATGTGGTGTAAATGTGGGATAAATAACAGGAAATGTTACTTTTAGATCGATCATTTGTGTTCTTGTAAGTCTTTTGCCTGTAAGTGAAATACTTACTCATGGGGATATCGTTTGTCTTTTTTTCACACCACAAAATCAGGTACAGTGTAGAGAGGATGAGGTCTGGACATGCGATGTTTCCCTCTTTGCCCTCCACACTTGAGTCTGTGAACACAATCCATTTATTCTTCCTCTTCTCTTACCGCTGTCATGGCTCTTGTGTGTAATTAATTATAATTGTGGGGGATGGCAGCATTCAGCCACTGTACTGAATAATTACTGATGGTGGGAACAGTTCTTTGTTTCCTCTTCTCTCTGTCTTCCCATCCATCCCCTTGTGTCTTTTGTGTCTCGTTATCTTTCAATATCTTTTGTATAGGTGGCAGAACAGTTTAGGAACATCCCTGGGCATATGATTAATGTCTTCCCTAGTATATAGCATTTTTGCACTAAGGTGTGATTAGTCTTGCGACGATGCTGTGAGAAAACATATCTACATTAAGATCCTCTGTACCTCATGTCTTGTCTCAAAAGGTGCAGAATCTGTTTTCTAAGAATCAGCATTTTGTTTTGTTTTGTAAAAAACTTAAACAAGGACATCAGACACACAGATGTGTAAAATCTCGTGCTCCTTTCTATACTGCTCTATACTACACTGGCAGTGAGGAGGCTCAAAGTTTCTTGAAGATGAGCTTAGAGAGGATATCCCACTCAAAGAGTACTAATGCTACGCAGATCTCTTTATTTGGAATGTACAGTGGTCAAAAACAAAGGAGGCGAGGAAGCTGGATGGAAGGTGTTGGTGTGAGATAGAGATTACTTTAGCCAGATTTAATTGGACGATAATACAAAATATTTTTTTTTCACAGAGGGAGAAAGCAAGAGAGAGAGAGGGTTTGGTTTGCTGAGTCTGTCGGACGGTTTGTCTCTGCCAAACAAAAGCCCCCATTTTTCTCCTGCTATAGCCCAGTACTGTCTGCTCCTCTTAAGACAGCATGATGTAGCCATGTTGTCAGTGTCCATATGGTACGCCTGCCAAGAGCTTCTCAGACCAAACAGGCAAACAGCAGGGGAGAAATTTAATGCATCATCCCTGAGAAGCTTAATTCTCTCTAACGTTTGTTACTATATTTTCCTCCTTTGAGAAGTTCCGTGGTCTAGAATGCCTGGTATGAAACATCTTTTACAATCAGATGCCAGTTTCATACCTGCCTGATAGATATATCTGTCTGTCAGCTTCTTGTGAAACACAAGAGGCAGCCAAAAAAAAGGATGCTTCCAAAAAAGCTGAAAACTGAAGCTACAATATTAATAACAATATTGTTTTTTATGGCAGCTTAATTTTGTAGGTTGAAATTAAGTTTTCCTGCATTATAAAATGCAATGTGATTGTTCAAAGTCACGCTTACACACAGAATCTAAATAAACTAGGAATTTGCTCATTTTTGTACTTTTTTATACAACACTTCAAATCAAATTCAAGACTGTTGCAATTAGGGATGGGTATCGTTTAGGTTTTATCCGATAC